GCGACTTATTTTCTTGTGTAATATGCTTTTTAGTACAATATAAAGTCAAATAATTTAATATAGTAATACTCTTTTGTAGCTAGAAAATGCCATCCGAGAGCTGATCCGAGCGAGACTCTTGAAAGTGTGTATCTACTTACAATATATAAGGGGTTAACCATAGTGGCTAAAGCCACATTAATCTTAATTAGAGGAAAAAAAACTTTAATAACAACTGTTACATGATCATTGTGTTTGTATTTGAAGCTTGTATTGTGCTGCCATCTAGTGGTAGTTGTTATGAGTTACGGCTTAACTCACTTTAATAAATTGACTTATTAAAATGTGCTTACAATACTTAACTTAAACATAATTTTTATTCCAGGTAATGTAGGAAATTTTCATGGTAATAATATATATATTTTTTTAATATACATTTTATATATAGTTTTTTTTCCCTCTTTTATTATTTATATTACACAATCTTTACAATTTGTATGTAGAATAAGTGTAAATTATAAAGTAGACATAATATAATTTTACTCGATGGCTTGATTGGAGAAAACACCCAGTGGTGGTACTCCGACGTATCCATTTTATATTAATAACAAAATTTAGAAATTATTTTTATAATTAAATAACACATGTACCTACCTAATAAATAAATTAAAAAATTGTTCTAATTGTGTATAGGTGTACTTAAAGTTACATAAAAATTTCTATTATAGAAGTGTTCCATATAGCTAAACGTTGGTGATAAAATATTATAATATCATTATTACACATCAATTTTTCAATAATTTTATTTTTTATTTCCAATTTTTATGCTATAAAATATAAGTATGCTTACTCGTCTGTTGACATACATAAATTTGTAGTAGGTACTTGCAATGTTTAAAAATCAGCGTTTTTTAATTAAAAACATAATACTTATATAATGTATTATAATATCGTTATATATTTACTATAAAAAATGTATATTTAAAAAATCATACATTTAATCTATAAATTATAACACTTCTGCTTATTTCTAGGCTGTAAAATATTGTAAAAATCGTAAGTATCATTTTTACTACCAACTTATAGATGATGAATATATTTACATATTTAAGTACGATTTCAATTTGACCTAGACTGAAGAATTTGTTGGTTATCATTAAATTTTGTGATTTGTCAAGTGAAAATATTAATAAAAAATATTAGTTATTATATGCTTATTATTAGAAAATATTAATAAGGCTAAATTACTATATATTAGGTGCCCTATGTAGTTTTGTGACTAAAAACATTATAATATTTATACTTGTAGACAAATTTACTTAAAATATATATTATTATTATATTAATGATTTATTTTTATAGATCATTCCATGTCTAAACTACAAATACCAGCTCCTATCAGCTTTCATGATATATATCCAAATTTGTTTTTGTATAATTTAGTTATTAAATTATAAAATCTACAAACCATGTAATTCATCGTTTTAATATGATTATTAAAAAATATCTAAGCTATACTTGATTATAACAGTTTTCTTTTTTCGTACAATATTTTGCAAAATCTATATAATTTCTTTTTTTATTCCATTAGCTTCATAGCTGTTATTCTAATACTTAAATTAGAAGTGTGCGATTATTCAAGTTTTTAAAATTTGTGAAAAATTATTCAAAACAGTTAATTAATTGTCTATAGGAGTTTTGTCCGTTATCACAATCTTCCTCCATTTCTTTCGATCCTGAACTAATTCCATCCATTCCTGTAGGCTGTACTCCCAATTTATCAAGGTCTTCTTCGGTAACATGCAGCCATCTTTTCTTGGGCCACCATCGAGGTCTTTTTCCCATTGATATCCAATTTAGGACTGCTCTACTTATATCATCCTCACTTCTCACAAGTAATCTATGATGAATAATAAATAATTTATCAATCTAAAATTGCCGGATTACAAAATCTATTATTTAAGCGGTCAGTTTAGCTATTTTGTTACAAATATTCTGTGAATAAAAACGGGAATACTGGATAAAAGCAGATTAAAAGTAATCCTAGTATTTAAACACTCATGACTTTTTTGGCGTAAAGATTAGACTTTTATTTTACAATTGCTGTAGGAACTTGACGTTCTTGAACACCCTAGTCGACGGGCCCGGGGTTCTCATTTGTTTAAATCCAATTTTTCTTAAAATAAGAAGTCTTTAAATTATGAACCATTTTCAAATGAATGATTTATACAAATCATGTACCTATAATTATAACAACATGTTAATGTTTTTTTAAATTACTCTAAAATACCTCACCACTTAGTATTAAAGTAAATCATTATTTAAAAACATTTTTAATATAACTCTAAAAAATTGTTATTTATATACAATAGTTTTTAGTTATTGGAATACAACTAATCCAGTAACCCATATACCATAATTTTGGATAACTATGGAATAAATTTAATAAAAATTCTTAAATAAAAATTTAATAATCTCTTTGTAATCGGTTACGGATTGTAATCCATTTTGCCCATTTCTTGTCAAAACCATTGATCTGTTGATTCATGTTGCTCCTCGTCTATGTCATATCAATCTAACATATAGTTTGATGGAAGAATTGCCTATAATAGGGGGGATATTATGAAAGAAACGACCCTATGCAATTTATATAGTTAAAGTTCCATGGAAATCTTCACTTTCGCTCTATATCTCTTACTCGTGTTAAGCTCCCGACTCTTTTCTTTTAGCGAAATCATAACATCGTGGCTCTCATTCAGTTTATTGCCCATTTCCCTAGGTTCTCACAGCGCGCAAAAGATGTCATCGAAAAATTAACTAAAATAACGCTACATAAAAATCGGTAAAAAAACTAGCTAGCTGTGCGTGTTGCTTTAACATGCTGGCTGCTTCAACGCGGCTCACTAATATGGCCAATTTGTTTACAACGACCGTTTTGTTCCAGTGTCGTGTTTTTAAAATTGTGATTTTTGTTTTATTGACATTTTCATGTCTTAGCTCTGGCACATATCCGAAAAAAGTTTTTCAGCCGAGTCTGCAACCACGAAAGAACATTTTCATGTCTCGTTGAAGTACCGAATAAATTTAGAGTAGTGGTGGAATTATAGATAATGATATAGTATATTAACGAGCGGTAACAAGCTAGTATAATAAAACGTCAAGTTTCTGGCTAAAATTGTAGTGTTTATTATCTGGCTTAAAACAACTCATAGAGAAAATGTTTTAAATTTATTATTTAGTTCTAATTTGAACGTTGAACATACAACATATCTCTTATCTCCTATATCTTACTCCTATCACTAACCCCCTATCCTCTACCCCTATATCCCACCCCTATCTCATATCAGATAACAGCGTAACATGTTTTTGGTAACACTTTATTTTCGTTATGCTTTTTTCGGTTATTTTCCACAGCTAATTCCCACCCTAACCTCATTCCCACCCCCACTTCATCTTCATCCCAATTTATTTTTTGGTAACGCATTTTTCGTTACAATATTTGCGTAACAATATTTTCGTTATAATATTTTCGGTTATGTGCCAGAGCTAAGACATGAAAATGTCAAAAAAGAAATGGGATTGAAGATGAGGTTGGGGGTGGGAATGGGAATGGGGTGGAATTAGCTGTGGCAAATAACCGAAAAAAAAAAGTTTTTCAGCCGAGTCTGTAACCACGAAAGAGCATTTTCATGTCTCGTTGAAGTACCGAATAAATATAGATAAGTTGTGGAATTATAATAAAAAAAAAAAATTACATGGAGCTTCCAGTTACAGCATAAGCCAAGGAGATTAAAAAATTATGTACAATCATGTTTCTGGCTAAAATTGTAGTGTTTATTATCTGGCCAAAAGTAACTTAATATAGTTTAATATATAGAAAATTAAACTATTTTGAATTTAATATTTAGTTCTAATTTAAACGTTGAACGTACAACATATCTCTTATCTCTTATCTTCTATATCTTACCCCTATCCCCTACTCCTATCTCTTATCTCTTATCTTCTATATCTTACCACTATCCCCTACCCACTATCTCCCGTCCCTATAACTTACCCCTTACCCCTACCCCTATCTCATATCAGATAACAGCGTAACACTTTTTTCGTTATGCTTTTTTCGTTACGCTTTTTTCGGTTATGCACCACAGCTAATTCCACCACATTCCCATTCCCACCCCCAACTTCATCTTCATCCCCATTTATTTTTTCGTTACGCTTTTTTGATAACGCTTTTTTCGGTTATGTGCCAGAGCTAAGACATGAAAATGTCAAAAAGACGTAACGAAAAAATAAATGGGGATGAATAAGTTGGGGGTGGGAATGGAAATAGGGTGGAATTAGCTGTGGTGCATAACCGAAAAAAGCGTAACAAAAAAAACATAACGAAAAAAGTGTTTCTTTTAAAACATTTCTAAAAAGTTTTTTAGTCGAGTCTCCAACCCATTATAATTAAAAAAAAAAAATTACATGGAGCTTCCAGTTACAGCATAAGCCAAGGAGATTAAAAATTATGTACAATCATGTTTCTGGCTAAAATTGTAGTGTTTATTATCTGGCCAAAAGTAACTTAACATAGTTTAATATATAGAGAATTAAACTATTTTGAATTTATTATTTAATTCTACTTTGAACGTTGAACGTACAACATACGTGTCGTGTTTTTAAATTGTTTTGTGTTTTTTGTTTTATTATATCTTGCTCGTGCGTGCTATGTCATTTTTTAGGACAGTTATGTCGAGAACAGCCGCCGTGCGGGCGACGAAAAGCCGGATAAGAAACTCCTGGCTACACCACATCGCACGGCGGTGGTGGTCTGCGCAATTTCCAGCGGACGACGAAGCTCAACAGTGCAAAGACGGAATTGTAGTACCTTACGTCAAGCAATGTAATTGCTACGAATTAACGTGTACCGGTACGACAAATCTATTAACAACCGCCTAATCTTGTAATTCTTTTACGAACCGCATGCATTTTCGTTGGTCGCAGGGGATGGTTTGAATGAATCGATGGACGGGGCGATTATGCAAGCCCTTAATGCGTGTCCGGAAGAATCGAAGATATCAGAAAAAGGCATCATATTGCTAGACTCGTGTGAGGGTAAGTTGGCGTTGACACCACTGAAATCATCGTTACCAATAGCGGACGACGAGCACAAGGGCTACAACACTTACTTCAACCGCGAACGCATCCGAGAGTCTGTGGCCGAGGGCATTAAAGCGCTAGTAAACGAACAAATAAAATCCATATATGTGAGAACAGTCCTACCGATATCGCCAACGTGTCTGTAATTAATGACGATGATTTCAGATCGGCAGCTACGAAGATGACCGGACGGCAGCTGAAGCGGCTTATTTGACTGCTTGGCAGGGTCCTAAGTGTGACGAATGCTGGGAGGGGTTATGCGTCCGTAACCACAGTGCCACAGCCTGCCAGACCGAGTGGAATCGAGGCAAGGTGGCTGCCGAAGCACAAAACCTTGCACGGTGGGTCGGAGACATGCAGATGGACTTCATGAAGCCCGTTCATTTCGCTCAGCTGGCAATGGACAGGCTGTGCTGTTGTGACGTTAAGGTGCACTAGTCTTAAAGTTTTAAAAAACAATGGTTTCAATAACGTCTATTGTACGCGTCGATATAGGTGAGCGTACGAGACGAACGATGGATGGAATCGAAAAAAATGACCGGAATTCTCGAAGCGGCATCGACAACGTGCGTGCCTCCGCTGTTAGTAGAGTTGACGTACTACGGCAAAGGCAACCAGGGCGAACGGCCAATCGTAATGGTCGGCAGAGGGAGCTGCCTTGAAGAGTGTTGCAGGCGTGGCGAGCCGCCCAAAATACTGTGCAATGACATGGGAAGCGCAGCGGCTATCCTGGGCACTTTTCGGGGGGTCGCTCAAATGCATTTGCCGGTCGACTTGGTCGCCTACATTGTTTTATACGGGTACAACCCGAGGGCAGCTAAACAAGACGCCGTCGTACGCAACGCCAACTCCAAGTACACCATGTTCGCGACCACCAGGAACGAAGGCAGCATGGTCATGTCAGACGCTGTCTATTACTCCCGAGTAAGTCGACCTTACCCTTGCGTTTCCCTCGTACGGTTCTTTATTCCTTTTTTTGTAGAAAGACACTCCCGGTCGTTTGTTGACGATCGACACGCAGCCCACCGACAAGCGGGACAGCTTCAACAAAGTGTTCAACACGTTTGTAACACACCATCCGGATTTCTGGCGAGAAATAAGAGTGGCCGGCCTGATGACCGGCGACCGGTTGTGGCAGCTGATGACCCACGATTCCTTTCTAGAAGAGCTCTCGATGTTAAATCAGATAGATTTGACTAACAGGAGCGAGCTACACAAGTACCAAGGTTCTGGTTACAACCATGCTTACCTTACACAGTTTGTGCCATGCTGCGACACTATTGTGGGGCACTTACAGATAAACGACAGAACAAAGAACACGTCGGACGGTCTTATTCTGCCGTACTTGCGAGAAGAGCTGAAAACCGGAAGACCAACGAGAACCATAATCCAGCTTTTGTATCAACTGGCATGTCCCCATGAAGAAATTGCTCCGATCCCCTGTTGTGACCAAAAATGAAATATTTACGCGTATTCTTATATTCCGTACATCCATAATCTAGACGTACTAGTTTTAGCTATTCCACTAAATTATAAAAATAAATACCTAATTCCAAACATATTTGTTTTGTCTTTATATTTCTTTGCTTTGTATTTCGTCTATATAATATATTATATAGTTTGGTATAATATTTCAATTTATTTTGGGAATCCTTTTAAACTGAAGACGTCTGATGTTTTTATTATATTATTGGTTGAATGCCGATGATTAAGGGTTCGGAAATACTGAATTTATTTCATTTCAAATAATAAATAAAATAGAATTAGGCATACAACTAATTTTGAGTCTCATAATAATCCTATTGATTCAAATCTGTAACTTTTTCAAAATCAATTATCGAACGATTTGAATAGCTTTCTGAACTTGCAAACTTGATTTCATTTCTTTTAAAACATTTCTAAAAAGTTTTTTAGTCGAGTCTCCAACCCATTATAATTAAAAAAAAAAAATTACATGGAGCTTCCAGTTACAGCATAAGCCAAGGAGATTAAAAATTTATGTACAATCATGTTTCTGGCTAAAATTGTAGTGTTTATTATCTGGCCAAAAGTAACTTAATATAGTGTAATATATAGAAAATTAAACTATTTTGAATTTATTATTTAGTTCTAATTTGAACGTTGAACGTACAACATATCTCTTTTCTCTTATCTTCTATATCTTACCCCTATCCCCTACCAACTATTTCCCGTCCCTATAACTCACCCCTATCCCCTACCCCTATCTCATATCTCATATCAGATAACAGCGTAACACTTTTTGTCATTTTCATGTCTTAGCTCTGGCACATAACCGAAAAAAGCGTTACCATAAAAGCGTTACCAAAAGAGCGTTACCAAAAGAGCGTAACGAAAAAAGCGAAAGGGTTGAAGATGAGGTGGGTATGGGAAAGGGGTGGAATTAGCTATGGCAAATAACCGAAAAAAAGCGTTATCAAAAGAGCGTTTCCACACAAAGATGGGTTGGAGGTGGAAATAAGGGTAGGATATAAGGGGTGGGGGTGGGATAGGGTTAGGGTTGAGGACAGGAGATAGGGGTGGGTGATAGGGGTAAGATATAGGAGATAAGAGATATGATGTACTTTTAACGTTCAAATTAAAACTAAATAATAAATTCAAAACAGTTTAATTCTCTATATATTAAACTATGTTAAGTTACTTTTGGCCAGATAATAAACACTACAATTTTAGCCAGAAACATGATTAATTTTTTAATCTCCTTGGTCTTATGCTGTAACTGGAAGCTCCATGTAATTTTTTTTTTTAATTATAATTCCACAACTAATCTTTATTTATTCGGTACTTCAACGAGACATGCAAATGCTCTTTCGTGGTTGCAGACTCGGCTGAAAAACTTTTTCGTTACGCTTTTTTGATAACGCTTTATTCGGCTATGTGCCAGAGCTAAGACATGTAAATGTCAAATACAAAATACTGATGAATTCATAACTCAATTGTACAGATCTACAACTTTCACTTCAATCGACAAAGGTTTAACTTTTGACATTAATTCAGTTAAATTGTATGATGAAATACTAACTTTCCAAAGACGGTTCAGTGCTACAGAAGTAAATCACCAATTTGTTTTAGAATTATATTTACAAAAACAGTTAGTTGAAATGTTTCCCAATAGTTTTATCGCTTTCAAAACACTCCTAAGTCCTAACACTTCCTGCGACAGCTGCCACAGTGAAGAGAAGCTTACCAAAATTGAAAGTGGGTCTTGCGATGATTTTAATCGAGAAAGAATTGGGAAATAATTTGATCGTGGACAAATTTATCAATAATTTCGCATCCGCAAAAGCACGATTAGTTCATTTATAATATTATGTGCTTAATTGCTTTTTTTTTATTGTAACTATTTTAAAATTGTGTTTAACGTACTAATGAGGTCTACTAGTCTATAAATGTATTTATGGATACTAAATATCTAACAATTGTAAACTATTTATAAATAAATATAATGAACACAGTCCTTATTTATTTTGTTTTTTTTGTGTAAACAAATATTAGATATAAAAAAATATTTCGTTTATAAACAAGTTAACCTGGGCCTTCACAGACATAAAAATTATATACCTAGATATTTATATTATACTTGTCTGAACTAATATTACACATAATTTATTATAACTGCTGGTTTATTTATGTAATAGGCCACCCAACCGTGGGGCTCTTGCGTGGGTTCAGTTTGCACCGCCTTCAAGCCGGTCCTGCTTGGGACGTTGAGTGTCAACGCAAATAATGTTGACAAATAGTCATGACATTTGATTAAACAAAAAAATGGCATTAATAGAAACGTTGATCAACATTTTGAACGCAGTGTTCTTCAGTTAAAGTTTTTCATCGTTATAGTGGTACCGTGTTTTGTTTTTTTTAGACGACAATGCATTCACATACCATGATTTCTATACTATTTTGGGTTGCTGTACTTTGTACTACATGCGTTGTGTCAGATCATATGGACGCATTACAAAAATCGGAATTAGCTAATAAATTAAACACGTTGGTGCGTCATCCGGGATGGCGATTAATGGACAACGTTCAAATCATAACAACTAAAAACAATAGCAGACAAATCGAAGATCCCATGTCCGAAATTCTCGAAGCTATATCGTCGAACCGGGATCCGGTGGACGAATCCAACGTGCTGGTAAGATACAAGGAGATCTGGACTGTACTGATGTGTAAGTACGGCACGATTGTTTTTGAGTGGAAGATTCAAATAAACCGTTTGATTAGGGTGTGCCGAAGCGAAAAAAAAACTGGCTCCAGCAATTGGTTTCAAAGGTATTACGATTGTTTTCAGTCGCTGCTGACCAAACTCGACATCATGTCACCGAGGTTTAAATGCATGACGGACACGTTGGACTTTGTTTACTCGCTAGGTCCGCATTCGAGGACAAGTAAACATGGTGTAATGATTGCTACGCAAAAATTGAGCGAGTACACTCTGACTTTACAGCAGAGAACGTTGTCGAAGTTGTCCCAACGAGGTATCAACGTGGACGCGGTCGATCTCGAATTACAAATCATAACCGACTATATCAATATGTTATTGAGAAGCAACGTGCATTGGTATACCTACCAGAATTGCAACGTTCCCACACACAGAGAATGGACTACGCAGAGTTTAAACGAAGATTTTGAGCACAAAAAGAACAACCAGCTGATACCGCAGGAAACGACTATGTTGCAGTATATAGAAAACGAAATTGATTCTTATGTCGGTGGTATCTTGGTCAGTTGGTTCTACAATTTGGGATTCATATACAACGTGGCGGGAAACGTTACAATAAGGATTAATTAAAATATTGTTAGCGTAGAAATACCTATTTACAGCTTAGACTAATTAATATAATATTGTGTCTTCTTCTTCTTTATCTTTATCTTCGCCTTACACTCCCAAAAACATGAGGTCGGCCACCTTAGTTCTACACCTCCATAGCACTCGGTCTTCTACATCTCGTTCAAACACCCCAGCTATCATCGTATCACTCTCTTCTTTCGTCTTTTCTTTGGTCTTTCTCTTTTTCCCTCTACATTCATCTTCATAACACCTTTCACTGTCTCTGCCTTAATTAATATAATATTGTGTACATCCAATTTATGTAGATATTTTTGTTTAATAAACAATTATCTGTTACATAGCTTAATATTAAACAAAATATGTCAACGTGTAGTTGCATTCAAAGCACATATTTTTTTTAACAAAAAATAAAACCATTAGTGAAGGTAGTAATTGTTAACAAAAAAAACTAAAACTCTAAAGTCTTTACATAAATAATGGAAAAAAACTACTACCTACTGGTACATTGTACCTACACTGTAGCTACAACTGCATAGTTAATGAAGCGAGATAGCTACTTAGCCCAAGAAGATAGGCTCTGAACCGTTGTATCTTATAAATTTACTTTCTACAAAATGCTGTCTTACGATCAATACTTGACCGGTATCAATTGACGAGATACCTAATTTGTATTTATATACATTGAATATTGTGATCAAAAATGTATAATAATGATTAATGTAAAATATTTATTTCATAGCAAACATTGAAATTTAAACAGTAAGATAAATATGCAGAAAACATAACAGATGATAGGTCTGAACTTAACAGATGGAATTAATTATATACTAAAACTAAACACGTTTTTTCTTTACCAAATCGTGGCCAATATGTAAATTAATACAAATTCTTTATAAAATTGATCTATCATCAATTTTTGTTGATGATAAGCCGATAATACTCACTTCCCCTGGAAGCAAGAGTTGTCCAAACCGAACTAAATATGTCGTAGACTAAAAAAAACCTATAATAATTGTTAAACTTTTACTATTGAACATTTTTAAAGTTGTGACAAAAATGTTTAAAAAATTACATGAACGAACCGATTCACCAATGAATCTTGATAAATACTAACTACATGAAAGTTCGTGAAGTTAGAGTATAAAGTAATATAAAGGATGAATAAATATATTACATTTATAAGATCCTATCTGATGACAGATGATTAACATGGCTTAAATATACTAGGCAATTCCATATCTCCACTATATTATATTATCAGTTCACAAAATGACACCGTAATGGTACAACATTGTTTATTTTTTTGATAAATATATACATAATACATAAAATAAATAAATTTGATTGGCCGACCCTTATCCTGCTATTTTACTTTCATCATCGAGCATTTCAATGGAGAGCGGGTAGAATTGCACTAACCTAGTGTGTACTATCTGTCTTGATATTTAAAATATTTTGAAACAATTAAAAAACACTTATTTTGTACTCCCTCTAAATAACGTTATAAATGTACCGCATCATACTTAAGGCGTTGAGTATAAATCAAGAGTTCGACGCCAAAATTGTTGGTAAATATTCTTGGCATGTGTTTAAAAAACAAAAAAAAATAATAATAATTCCTAATGGAAATTGTATTTAAACACAGTATT